GGAGCTGTTGCGGGTTATGGCGCTGTTACGGTCAGTGAAGTAGGATGAGCTCTGCGGCGGCGCGTCTCCATACTCCCGCGGGCTTCCCGGAACGGATGGCAGTGGGGTGTCACTCAAGGCAGCACCCACGCCGTCCTTTGTGACCAGAGTGCCATTGTGGTGTTGTTGTTGGACCGGGTTCGGTACAGCCTTTAGTTCGCCATTCTGAAGTGCGCGCTCCTTGAGAGCTTGCACGTTCTTTGCAGGCGCAACCGCAGGGAATCTGGGCTCAGCGGATGAGGCGCGCGGAGTGAGGTCGTTGTCGGTGTTTGTGTTGGGCTGCTTTGCGTTGTCGAGAGGGATGGTGAGTTTGCTCATTACAGATCGGGCGTAGATGGAGTGGGAGCTGAGGCGGCGGTTGGTATTCGAGGTGTTTGAGGAAGTTGAGGATCGACGGCGATCCGGGTGCTTGCGATGTACAAGCTCGGTCACCATCGGCGTCGGGACTGCTTCCATGTTCGGCGTCATGCCAAGATGTCGAAATACTTATGTCAAGCTAGCCTGGCCGCTGCGCTAAGATAGCACCCAGGGCGCTGGAGGCGAGTCGCGGCTGCCGGTGCAAGACTGGGTTGCGTTGAGGAGATGTTTCAAAAAAAGTTGTGTGGAAGAAGGGTCTCTGTTGGAATGTCGGGTGGATTTGCAGAGGCAGGCTGATCGGGCCGTTGACCTTATCAAGGGCTGGCTCGATATGACTGTTCGGAGTCGGCCTTTGGTTGAGAGAACCACGGGTACGCCGCTTGAACTAGACCGTTGGCGGAGGACGAGTTTTCAGGAACGCGCGCAAACGCGTTGAGAAATGCATCATCGGCAGTTTATATCTCGCAGCCTGGTCGGTGAAACTGCGATGCAATAAGGCGCGACTTGTCTGCATCCCTCGCCATGTTACAGGCCGCTTGGCAGGTGCAGGTGTTCATTGCTCGAAGCGGACAAACCCCACAGTCCGACTCCGATAACCAATCAATCCACCACGCCTCCCAATGAAGCTCGCGACGATGAAGAGAGCACACCTTTATCGTGATCTGTACCCAGGTACAGGCCGAGTTAAGAACCAAAGTAGCCCTCAATCAAGCCATGGTTCCATTGTCGTGTGATGCTCCATTACTTTCAAGGTGTCTCGCACTCGTCCGATGTCGACCAGTTCGTGGGTGGGCCCAACAACGTCAGCGTGCAGCCACCAACTCCACTGTTGTACTGTATAGGCCAGAGTCCTTGGCACGCATATACAGTACACACGCGACATGTATTTCCCCAGATTCCGAGATGCCTTCCAGACGCGCCTTCCGTATCGTGGGGATCCTGAACCACCTGCAACATGCTTGGAGCGATACCACGCTAGCCTTGTCACCCGTGATGAAGTGTTTGTCGAAAAGCAAAAGGTGACTGTCACGTCCGAGGAGCAGAGTCAGTGACTATGTCGTAAGCTTCAGCGTCAGGACCAGCAGGCAGATGTACGCTGAGACGCTCAAGGCTGTCAACACAGACACCACATTGCCGGATGTTCGGAACTTCTTCCTGTGCAGGCCATCCTCACCGACTTCCGAGAAGAACTGTTTGTTTCCTATTCGCTGTCAGCACCCGCGTTCTCGTCGTCATACATCCGCCTGATCGTTCCCAACTGACCTTGTTGTCGCCGGAACAAACTGATGAACAAGATGCCAGCACCGTAGACAGCGAACAGCGCACCGATCGAGTAGAACTCGGCGGTGAAGATCTTTAGCACCACAAGCGCAAAAGAAAACTGGCCGATTGCTGTACGGACGTATGCGCCTTCGAATGTTCGCTGTGCTGCGCGGATTTCAACCAGCTCTGGACCAGTCAAGATGACTGAGCGTGCGCGATGTAGATGGAGACGATATCTGTCTGCTGCGTGACGGCCCTGGACGTTGTGAGCGCTGGACACTTCTTGACGAAACATGCAAAGATCCTACCTCGAACATGGTGACTGTTGCAGGTTCACCAAGATGCGGAAGGATGGCAGTGAGTGGTGATGTTGCTATCCCGGTACTACCTCGGGATAGAGTTGGGTACGCGATTGATAGCTAGAGGAGACGGGTGACGTAGTGGGGTAGGGAGTATCCCGAGGTTCAAACGACAACGCGTCGAGCAACCCGCCAGTACGTGTTTTCACTCTCACGACGTGTATATTCAAGTCGCACGAGTAACAAAAGTCAGACTTGGTGAAGATGTCTCGTTCTCGCGAAATGTCAAACGCGGTTAGTTCTACACAAACGCGTTAGCGCGCCTTTTCAAGATGAAGCTCGACTGACGTTGCTGCAGGGTCCAAGCACCTCCGAAGTTGTTCCTCCGTAACCGTCCCCGCAACCACAAACAATGTTGCGAAAAGTCCAATCCGATATATAACCTCGCGACGATTCCGAATCCAGGTAGAACAGCCAGCCCCTTTCAACGAGAAAGCGCTGCATGCGACTTGGCGCCTGGCGAAACTTCACGCAGCGCGTCATATTTCCTTCTGTTAGGACCAGCGTACGGTATGTTCTTATTGCGAGTGCTCGACAACGCGACTTGTCATCACTTTGTAACTTTGGTCTCTAATTGACACGAGTAGGCACTCGAACGACCGCCGGACCCGCTTTACCACCCCATTGTCTCGATCGCACGTAACGTTTGTACGCCCATTTCCGCCCTGGGACGACTACCCCGACACCCGTGTCCACGAAGAGGGAAGAATGGGAAAGTGGAATTACTACGGAGTGAAGGTCGGGCGCAAACCGGGAATCTATACGGATTGGCCGAACACAGAGGCGCAAGTCAAGGGCTACAGTGGTGGACTACAACAGGGCTTCAAGACCCGAGCGGAGGCTGAGGAATACGTCTACGGCCCCAATGGACGCTCTAGTGCACCCATAAGCCTACGAGGGGATCTTTCTGCGTCTGGGTCTCCGTCAGCGACAGGCACTTTTGACAGGAGTAGAGAGATATCAGAGAGTGCGCCTAAGCGACAAAAGAAGGAGAACGCACAACCGGCATTGATCCCAGATCACCAGGAAGTCAAGGTCGAGCCCGGGTACGGCCCCCTCCCACCAGACGCAGTAGACGGCTTCGATCCGAACATCAAGCTCGACGAGCTGACAGGCAGGATCAGGGAGAAGACGCAGGAGGAACTTGGCAAAAGGAAGAGACAGCCGACCGGAGACTCCAAAAGCCCCGTTGTGGTATACACGGACGGCGGTTCGCGGGGCAATGGCAATGCTGGCGCCAAAGCCGGCTGTGGTGTCTACTTCGGCCCACAAGATCCCAGGTTCGTGTGGTCTCCAACAAATTCTTGATCGGGGACAGTCCACTAACAACAATACAGAAACGTCAAAGAACCTCTAAGGGGTGATCTCCAGACCAATAACCGAGCCGAATTAGTCGCAATATCTCGCGCGATCGACCACGTTCCCATCGACCGCGACATGGAGATCATCAGCGACTCCAGATATTCTCGCGACTGTCTCACACAATGGGTCCCAGGTTGGGAGAAAAAGGGCTGGAAGAATTCTCATGGCAAAGATGTCATGAACAAGGAAATCATACAACCCATCCTGGCAAGGATACGAGAACGAGAAAAGGCTGGTGCGAAGACCAAGATCACCTGGGTCAAGGCCCACGACGTCAATCCAGGCAACATCGCAGCCGATAATTTCGCAAACCAAGCTATGGACAATTGGACTGTCGATCTTGCGTCCGGGAACACATTTGACATGTCAGAAACCTTGCGGACGAAGTACAGGAATCCCAACGATCCGCCATCACCGAAGCAGGAATATGATGTGGAAGAAATGGAAGGGTATTTACGCCAGCTTGCAGATGAGGATCTCAATGGACTCAATGATTATCCTTCGGCTGAAGTCGTTAATCAGTCTTCGATTGATGTCGAACAAGCTGCTGCTGCTTCGGCACAGGACGTCGACGACGTATTTGCTGACCACCCAGCATTTGCATCCAAGACAAATGGAGAAGAGAAGGAGACGGAACGGGAAGTCGCATACTAGATACCCGCCAGCTGCCGAATAGGCGGTATGCGGTTGGAGTGGAACTAAATCGGCCAACCATGGTACGTGTACGAGAAATGAATCTAACAACAATACTTCTTCAACACCTTCCAAACCTCTGCTACTTCCAACCATTTCAACATATACAATCTTCATATGGCCCAACCTCACACCATCTACCCATCACCACACCAGACCACAACGCAATGTCTCACAAACCCAGCCCCGTCGTTCCAAAACCGCCCTCACGCCTTTCCACACTTCGATCAAATCTCTCTACCTTCCTCTCCGAAGCAGCATACTACTTCTCCTGGTACATCGTCATCGCCATCGTATTAAAGATGCTTCTCGTCGGCATCGCAGAGGTTATCTATCGCCTTCGCTATTGCGCACCACATGGCTTCCTTTGGAGAGCATGCGGGGTGCCTCTTCTCGGATTGTTTCTCGAATGGGTCTTGAAATATGTATGTGCCACGGTATTCTGGTGGCTTCTGGAGGTTGCTTGGGAGGAGTGGTGATGAGGGGTGGTAGTCGTGAGGAGCTGGATTTGGAGGTTTGTGGTGAGTATGTTAATGCGCTATGCTATGCTATCTTTTTGGGTCCTTTGGAGGGAATATCGATCTGGGTAGTTTGAGTGGGTCGGTGTACGCGGGTCCGGAGAAAGGTAAAAGGACGCCTTTCATGGTCAAACGTTCGTACACCTACGGCGATGACACCGGCGTGCGGATGTTCGGGCTAAGCAATCCAAGCATTACACGCCAAGTTCGGAAGACGGCATTGGCGTGCAAATAGGAACAGATGTACACACCGGATTCCATTCCGATTCATTCGCCACAGGCTAGTCATGTGTGCCTGCACTCGGAAGAAACGGCTACTAACACTAATCAGGCCACCCACCATCATCATCATTGTCTATAATAATGACCTGTCTTCGCCCCGCTCTACCCACCTCTCAACTCGAAACCCATGGCCTGGGACACCATCCACGCCGCCCGCAACTGGATGCTCAACAGTATCCCTATCCTCACCAGTTGCCTCGAAGGCGTAAATCAAGGCCTTGTAACATACATCCTCTTCACTGCGACCGCGAACCGCATCGAGCTCCGACGCTTCAACATGATAGACAGTCTCTTCCAAGAACTGCCTGATCTAGCAACCATCGACCCTCACGCCGCCTCCATCTCCACCTCCAACAACACCAACAACACCACCATACCCACCACCGCCGCCATCAACAAATGGCTGCGCTACTCCCGTATCATGCGCTATTGCTGCGTTGCGCAAATCGTGTTACAAACATTCATCTTCGTCTCGAGCTACATGAGTAAGGGTCTGACGTGGCTCAATGTGTCGCAGGCTGCGTGCTTCAGTGCGAGCTGTGGATGTTTGTGGTATAGCTCGGTGAAGGACGAGAAGAAGATGCTGGGCTTGTTGGAGAATGGGGGGATGGGGGACGTGAAGGATGTGGAGAAGGGGGTATTGGCTTGGGAGGAGGAAGGGAGGGATGGGGAGATGGGGAAGGGAGATGAGAAGGTGGGGTTGTTAGAGACGGAGAAGGTCGAGGTGGAGGGACATAAGGAATGGGTGGATAAGAAGGAGAAGCAGAACATGGAAGTCAAGGTACAGGAGGTCAGGGAGAGATCTGAGAAGTAAGCTGCGACTATGTCTCTCCTCCATCACGGGATACTAGGCGCCTTCCGTTCCACAGCCTAACAAAGTCACAGCTTGGAGTATCTCTTCCCCCTCATTAGCGTACATCTGGTCTTGTCAGGCAACTACATCGCCTTGAAGCTAGTGGCACTTTGTTTATGACTAGTATCAATTGTTTGTGTATCAAAGCGTCTTACACTATAGGGACAAGGCGCGCAGGAGCACGCTAATTTCGCAATTTGCTTAAAGTTTAGCAAACATGTATTTTCAAATAATAAAGAGGGCTTACAAGCTCAGCGCTATGGCATTTCTCTACATGAGCGGCATATTACTTAACCTCGTCCCAAAACCTTCAGACTCTCAACCTTTATACACACCTCGCAACGTCATACCTCAACACCCGCCACCTCAAGTCCGCAATGTGCCATGCACTTAAAAACCTCCTCTCGATGATTTTCTGGTACATCATTCTCGCGATCGCAATCATAGCCTTAATCCACACGCTTGTGGCCGCCCTGGCTCTTTGTGCATATGCATGCACAGTCAAAGGCGGCGTGTGTATAATCCTTTTCCTTATCTTCATGGTTGTCTGCACGATTTTGGGTGTAGCATTCTTCTTGTTCCTGTGTGGCATAGACGTGTTCGGTATCGATGAGGCTATGCCGTGGGAGGACTGAGTTGGCTCCCAAGGTTGGCAGAAGGTGGTCCTTTGGTAGCGAAACCACGTGGAAATCAACTGCGCCCTGCGCGAAAATGAGAAAGATTTAAATTCCATGGTTAGAATTACGAGAAACTTTGGTTGCAGACTGCAGTCTCTAGGCTGCTCTCTAGGTACGATTTTTATAAATGCCTCCAACTGCTAAAGCAACATCCTCCATCTCATCATAGATACGCACCCTCCGCATCAACTATCCAGACAGAAAGCATTTCAAGATGATGTCTACAGCAGCCAAGTTCGTGCTCCTTTCCACACTGGCTGGTGGCATCGTCGCGACTTCCTCTCCAACGGCGACTGTTCTCGGCACTCGTGGACTTGCGTCCGACTCAACCTCAATTCCAACGATTTCCACACCGACTTCCACCTACAAGATGCCTTTCAAGACTGGCCACGGCCCGGTCGTAATCTCAACGTCAATCCCTGCATTGACGCTGCATGACCCCAAACTCAGCACACCAACGATTATATCTTCACCGCCAAATGAACCAGCGTCATAGTGCGTGAACCCCCTGTTATGCTAAAACCTCCCCTAACTTCATCGCTAACAGTCATAGTCACGAAATTTGGTCCAGCAACGAGCACCAACCAGAACGCACATTCCCCCACCACATTCCCGGCGAAATCAGTTCAAGGGAAGGTAAAATTGAAGGCATCACCATCGATACCATGTACGACACCGACTGTCATGGAGACGATGGAGATGCCCACATCTACTTCACCATCACATACACCAACGGCACACTCGCATACGACCCGCGCGGCCGACCCGGTCTCTTCGCCTTCACAACCCCCTGGTATCTTACATACCCAAAAACACTGCGCAAAGCCATCTTCAACGACCCGAACTCGTACCGCTCCAAACAGAAATCCGAGGACTGTAAGCATGGCCACTGCTTCAGTGAGGTCCTGCCGGGGTTACTGTATTACGACGAGCCTGTCAAGTTGAAGCGCGTCAAGAATCCGAAGACGCTGAGACCGTTCACTTCTGATCGGGACTACTTCGCGCTTGGCGAGTGTCACTACGACGACAGCCTACTCGATATCTGGAGGATGAGTGTGTATCTCGGTAGGATTGGATATTATATCCACGGCGCTAACATACCGCCTGCTGTTATCGACTATGTGGAGGACAGAGTACGAACGACGTATCCGACGCTGGAAATCTGCCTGATACTCTGGGGGACACTTGGTGCTATTCCGACTCTCATATTCGTCATCGTTCTCTTGGTCTGGTTAGTGAAGATAACAATTTGGCTAGAATATGATGGGCCACAAAGGATGTGGGCTTCTGCTCAACGTAGCCGTGAGGCTATGTGGAAAGCTATCATCATGGCGCCGGGTAAGGGATGGGATGCGGTGAAAAGACGTTGGAAGAAAGGATTGAGGCGTCAGAGGAGTCTAGTGGCACCACCGAATACGGTGCAGTCGACGGCTGATGAGCAGCTGCCGACTTATGAACTTCCCGAGTGGACACCTTCGGAACTTGCAAGGCCGCCGAGTTATCGTACTTATGATGGTGGTTGCGAGGGGTTCAATGCTGTTTGAGCGGGTTGAGGAATATAGAACAGGATAGAGATACAATCGACAGGCTGGGAATAGATATACCGAACAGCATAATGCCATATACGAATGAGATCCCCTTTCTTCCTTAGCCATTCCACACGAGCCTCACCATCGCTCCACACACATCCATCACCCCTCCACCTCCCCAACAACCCTAACCTTAATCCCCTCACTCCCCAAATCCGGCATCCCCAAAAAACAATCATTCGTCGTCAAAACATCCCTCCCCTCCACCGTATCCCACACCTCCATCCTAAACCTCCGCCAAATCATCGCAAGCCCCGTATACAATTCCGACGTAGCAAGATTCATGCCTAGGCAATTGCGACTGCCGCGCCCGAAAGCAAAGAGGTAGCGTGTGAGTTTGGGGTTTTGTATCCACCGCTCCGGACGGAAGGCGAAAGGGTCGGGGTAGATGGCAGGGTCGGTGTGGAGGAGGTAGGAGGATTGCATGATGGGCGTGCCGCGGGGGAGGGTGTAGGGGCCGTATGTAAGGGATTCGCCTGTGGGGATGCGGGGTTGGCGGGAGGAGACGCCGTGGGCGGTGCGGAGGCCTTCGTTTATTACTGCGGTCTGAGATGTTGGTTAGCATAGTTTGGTTTCTTGCCTAGAGTGGACTGCTTACTAGGTATGGCAGAGCTTCGAGCTGTGGTAGTGAGACTTCGTGATCTACCGTTGGCATCACAGTCTTTAGTTCCTGTCTCAATTTCTCTCCAACTTCCGAGTTCTTGATCAGGTAGTAAGTAGTGACAGCCAGTGTCCTCGCCGTCGTCTCCGTCCCCGCACCAAGGATAACACTAGCATCCGCCGTCAACCGCTTGGGATGTTTCTCTTTCTCCGGAAGTTTACAACCAACATCATCTCTAATATCATGAAATATCGTGCGTCTCAGGTTCTTCGTATCGCCATCGCCGTCCTCAAAGTTCATGATGCGTTCGATCCTGCCTAGCGTTCTGAGACTGAAGGTGTTCACTGTGGCTACCCCGGGGCTCAGTTTCTCAACAATGTTTGGCGGAAGATCGAGCATAAAGTTCATGATAGTAGGGAATTGGCGCGCAAATGGCTCGATCTGAATTCCGTCGTGCATAACCTTGAGCCAGATTTTAGCGTAGTCGTCGTGATCTAGTGCTTTGATCGATTCGCCGAAACAGTACTCGGAGATGGTGTCCATGGTGAAAGCGGCGTATGCGTCGTTGAGATTCACGACACCGGCTTTGGGGCCTGTCTTTTCGAGTTCGCCTGCGAAACGATCCATAAGCTTCTTGGTGTTGTTTACGACGAGCTCTTCGAGGGCTTGGACTGAGCGCTTGCTGAAGAAAGGCGCTAGGGCAGTTCGTCGCAACTTGTGCAAGTCGTGGTCTATGGTATCCAGTATTGCGCCTTCCCAAGACTTTGCACCGGTGTGAAATGACCAACTACAACGATCGCGTTTGTGATTCATGCCGGATGCGTAGATCGTGTCGAAGTAATCTGCATCGTGGATATGCACTTGAAGAGGATTAATCCGTATGATAGGCCCTAGTGCTGAGTTCAGAGCCGGAAGGCAGACATGAGTCGTGATGGCTCACCGTATTGCTCATGTAGCTGCTTGATCTTCCACAAGTACTGGAATCTGTGCGGATAGATCTCATAATAGAATTCGTACCAAAACGTGAATGCTGCCAACTGCACAGGGTTAGTCGTCATCTAAAGTCCCTCATAGCACACGTTGTCTTCCAGGTCGTACCTTTGGCCCAGGAATGTTTGCTAAAGGATGGAAATACACCCTGTACACGCCAACAGCGAGCCAGTACAGTATCGATATTCCAATCAGAGACGCAGCGAACTCTTTCGATGCGCTACTACGTATGAGATTCCAGAGGCGGTCCATGGTAAGTGCGGTGGATGATGTGCGGGGATCGCATCTTCCACGCGAGGGGGCCTCGGCAAGCCATATGTACACATGCTAGACTTCGCGCAGGTAACGTGAGACAACAACATAGTTCATTGGAACGCCCGCCAATAACGATGTCAGCATGTTCAACAGGGCGGGATATGCAAGGGCGCCAAGACCATGCACACCGTTAGCGCTTACCACAGCGCTGATACGTCATGCAGGCTACACAAGCCCGTTGCATGTATAGTTGCGATTAAGAAGACTGATTGGCGTTCCGAGAAACATATCAGACTGACTAATAGCAAGCATACTTGTTGCTGGGTAATCAGATAGCAGTTGGTGTTAGGGTTGCACGAGATGCAAGTAGCGGCAAGCCTTGTATTGCCCTCAAATGCTACAGACTCCTAAGCACCGCGATAACTGTTGAAGCAGGGCGACGATTAGTATCTCGGCTATAACTGTTCGACATGTTGCGTCTTGTGCAGACGGAATCTTCCCCCAGATTGAGTATGGCCCTTCTCGAATCGAAGTGTCCAGAAAAACGGTAACATTCTGAGCCCGTTGCTCCGAGGCGCTGGCTGAGCGAATAAACTATTCCATTCCAGACCTTGACGAAGGACCACATATACACTGATGTCAAACGGCCGATAGTAAATGTCAGTAAGCTCATATGGTGGTGAGTCAATGACTATGTGGGACTTCGAATGGCTATGATGCTGACGGAACGTCATTTAGCATAATTTGCAGACTGAGCAGCGAAGGGGAACTCACGAAGAACATGTGGACCTTCTCGATAAAATCTGGATGTGAGGTGCGTATGTAGAAGGTGTAGGTGTCGTCGGGTCC